CAATCCCAACTTCTGCTTCCTGCAGTGCACCAGTGCGTACCCACTTCAGCCAGAGGATGTCAATCTCCGTGTTATATCGGTCAGTGAGTAACCCAGAGTGTGCCATGCGTACTTTCACTGAGATAAATTTCCAGATCTTTGGCATGGTGGAATTTGCTTCTGAAGAGTTGTCATGTTCCTCCAATTCGTACAAGTGTTGGAGTAAAGATATCGATTGGGCCTTTTTATAGCAGAACTCATCTTTGAGGAATATGATAAAGGATATTACTGGAGTATTCACAGTTCAACAGAGGACAATATGACATATGGGTGACAGGTTAACCCCATGCTTTATAGTGCAAAGAAAAATTATGTAGACTGTTACCATGGAAGTGGAAGTGAGAACATAATTTTAAATTGGGGGCTAAACTAGAAACTTAAAAAAATCTTCCTGTGACTATGAGAGCAATGAAGAAAATGGATTAGACCCTAGAATGGTTTTCATCACTGGAAATTTTACTGGGATATGCCAAATAATGATGTAAGAAAGCTTTCCCAGATGGGCCACTGTTCAAGCACTAGCTTAAATTTATGCACATGTAGTATGTTATTTTTACTAGAATGCGACATGGCTGCATTTAATTGCCTTTAGGATTGGGTGACTGTTCCCTATATATGGATTAAAAGACCTCACATAGTAGAACTGAATTAAAAGGAAAAACCTAAGTTGTAGAAGAGAATATGCCTCCTTGTCAGTATTGGTAATATTAGTGAAGTTTGGAACAAGGTGATTGGTAATGCATTGCGACTCGTTGAATATAAAAAATACATTCTCAGCATAACCAACTGCTTGTTTTCTGGCACAATAACTCTCTATGTGTATTATTGCGGTTATCACTGTTAAATTTGCTTTGTCTTTGAAATTGCTCCCTTGGTAATTCAGACCAACTCTGTCATCATTCAAGGCATATCAGTCAGCTTTTCCTGATATCCCCATTGGCTATTCAGGGCATGAAACTGGCATAGCCATTTCAGTGGCAGCTGTTGCTATGGGTGCTAAAGTATTGGAACGCCATGTGACTCTTGACAAAACATGGAAAGGAAGTGACCACCAAGCATCTCTGGAGCCTAATGAACTGGCAGAGTTAGTGAAAGCCATCCGTACTGTGGAAAAAGCAATGGGCTCTCCAGTCAAACAACTCTTGCCCTGCGAAATGGCTTGCAATGAAAAGGTAACTTTTGCTTTTGATTCATGTGAATCTGCAGCTGATTTAGACCTATGGCTAAGAACTCTATATTCAGAAAAACAGCTTGCTAATTGTATATTGAAGTAGTGTTCCTGCCTCTGCAATCAAAAAATCTCTGCTGCTATGTAGCAGTTTGCACACTGTTTGTGCTTAGCCCACTGTAACATCAGTGTAGACATGTCATTTTCTGTAAGCTGCTGTTTCTGGCAGTCAGTAACTAAGTTTGCAAAAAGCATAAATTGGCAATTTTGAGTCTAATGCAGTTCTGGGTGTATCATCCAGTGGTTAACTAAGTTAAGTACAAACATGGAATCATTTAGGTGGGAAAAGACCCATAAGATCATTGAGTCCAACCGCTAACCCAACACTGCCAAGTCCTCCACTAAACCATGTTCCTAAGTGCCATGTCTGCATACTTTAAAGTAACTCCAAGGATGGTTCTCAGCCATATTCCTGTTCTGGACTGTTTCAGTGCTTGATAACCCTTTTGGTGAAGAAATATTTCTTAATATTCAATTTAAACCTCCCCTGGTGCAGCTTGAGGCCATTTCCTCTTGTCCCATCACTTATTACTTACACCAACCCCTACCTGGCTCCAGCTTCCTTTCAGGTAGTTGTAGAGAGCAATAAGGCCTCCCCTGAGCCTCCTTTTCTCCAGGCTAAACACTCCCAGCTTCCTCAGCTGCTCCTCCTAAGACTTGTGCTCCAGGGCCTTCACCATCTCTGCTGGCCTTGTCTGGATAAGCTCCAGCACCAAAACATCCTACTTGTAGTGAGCGGCCCAGAACTGCACAGAGGATTTAAGGTGTGGCCTCACCAATGCCAAGTACAAGTACTTGGTAATAGGAATAATATGTCTCTGTGACTGTATATGAGCTGCTTTTACACTTAGCTAGAATACCAGTCATTATAATCAGATTCTCTCCACCGTGATTTTGAAAAAAAATCCAGTTTCAGAAAGGATCTGGATGTTCCCAGCAGCTTGGTTATGGTGAAGATTTCCATCCTAACTCAACCTTCATTCAGAATAAGAAGTAATGGAGGGGGCAGTTCTACACAACCTGTTCCTAAATAACTGCAGAATGTCTTTAACTGTAGCAATGTGTTTGACTCAGAGTTTTTCCCTTCTCTGTCCTGTAGCTGGGAAAGTCTGTTGTGGCAAAAGTGGCAATTCCTGACGGTGCAGTACTGACACTTGACATGCTGACAGTGAAGGTGGGAGAGCCAAAGGGATTTCCTCCAGAATCCATCTTCGATCTGGTGGGCCAGAAGGTTAAAAGAAATATCGAAGAAGATGAAACCATCACTGAGCAAGCAGTGGAATATCATGTCAAGAAAGTGAAGTGCTAAACCAAAGCACTCCATTCCATATTCCACGATGTACTACTGCACGACATATTGAAGTATAGCAACATAGTAGATTAGAAGAAAAGCGTGTAATTATGAGGATCCAAGCAGGTTATAATTTTCAGGTGCTCATTAGCAGGAAGTTTCTGAAGCAAGGGGATATAAGTTATAAAGAGCAATTTTATTAGAAACTGTGTAGCATTGTGTCTAGGAAGTACCATGCTCCTCCCTTCTCCTTTCCACTTGTCTTAGATTAACTTGGAGTTTTGCCAAATCTAAAACCACAGTCTGCTGCTTTCCAACTTCGCTTTTCTATTAAGAATACAGGAAATCACAAGACTTCTGTCTCCATTTTTCATTGTTCTAACCCTCTGTCTTTCAATGTTCCTCTTTTCTGCCATCTTCCATACCCCTGCGATAGCAGGACTATAGTTGGAGTTGAATGAAGATAAGTGAAAGTTTACACGTACTTATCTGATGGATTTGCCTAAAGATGAGCCTTAAAATGACAAGTCTCGTGATACAGTAGTTAGTTGCAGAGATATGCGCTCTGTTGGAAAATGGGTTTCTTGACAAAGCTGGGTTCTTAAGAGAGTGCCAAGAAAGCAAGCATACTAGATAGGGAGAAAGGTCCCATTTAAGGAGCAAGAGAGCCTTTTTGTGAACTGAACTCTTTTGAAAGGCAAGAGGGCAAACCAGACAGATAAAGCAAGGGAGGAAAGTAGATCTGAGATAGATCAGTGGAAATACCAGAATTTGTCAGAAGCATCTGTTGTGAGCTGAGTGAAATTTGGAATCTTAAATGAATTCTGCTGTGCATTTGGATACCTATGGTTGTACCTGGTGGCAACTTCTCAGGTAGGAAACCAAGTGCTGGTGAATATTGAGCAGCCTTTTTCCTGTACCAACAAGCAAATACGTTAATGCTGGGATTTTCCCCTCAACACTAGTGTTTGAGATGGCTGAGGCTGATTGCTTGACTACATCATATCATTATGCTTCAGCATGATGGTCAGTGCACGTGTGTGCTCTGACCTTGTGTGCTCTACTTTTACATCCCAGCTTCTCACTTTGCAAGTAAGAAATGCGATTCCATTGCTATCAGCCTGCTGCTTTTCTCTTTGCCCAGGAAGGAGCCGTGTAACAGCAGCTGCAAACCAAGTATTCCTCAACTACCTTGCTCAGCACAGAACTGCTTTGGTATAATTCATCTGCTTTTTTTTCTGTGGTAGAGTCATTGACTAGTGACGGTAATTTGGCACTTGCTACGTTTTGGTCATGAGTTGATGAAATATCTTGAATTTGGTGGTGGGTGGTTTGGTACCTGTGAGCTATTTACTTTCAAAATGTTAACCCTTCTGCAGTTCTGAGCAAACTGTATTAATGTCTCTAAATGGGGATTCAGAAATTTTCAGAGTCATGTGATTGACCATACGTAAGCTGTGACTGATGCAGTATGCTTGCCTTACATCAAAAAACTACTCAATTGTTAAAAGATTTTTTAAAAATTCAAATTTAAAAAATAAATTTCGCTTATAAAACGAGCTCTTGTTTCTACATTTCAGTCTATGGTCATACTTCGCCAACACTAGTGGTGATGTTGGGGCCTTTAGTACTTGAACACTGTGAGATTACTAGTAGCAGTGGTTCTTCACTCTAGCAGGGTTGGTCCTAGAGATTTCTGTAAACATAGGCTCGTTTCCAGGACTTTAATTAATGTATTGGGAGAAAAAGCATCCATGTACAGAAACTTGCAAGGTGTGTCTCCTAGTTTTATGTGAACATATGTTTATCCAGCTGCAGTTAAACAGCCTTTGCAAATTGGACACAAAAATAAATTTGGCACAGGTGCCCCATTGACCTAGTGCTCTTATTGCACCTGTGGGCCCTCCAAGCAGTTCATCCTGTTGCACACAGCTGTTTCTCATTCTTCCACTCTATGGGAAGAATGGGGCCACCCAGAAGCCCAGTTCAGAGTCTCTGTCACATGTAAGGCCAGCTGATGGCTACTAACTGTGGCTACAGTAGCTCCTACTTCTTAAGTGGCCTTTCCAACAGTCAGTGCCAGTCTTTGATTTTTCCAAGATGACACTTAAGTATGAGCTAATTCACTTAGTCCTTTTATTATCCAAATCTGACCTTGTCAGCTCTAACAATATAAAATATGCTTGAGGCTTGAACCAAATTAAACCTATTACCATATGCAACTGCAGCCTCTCCAGACAGGTAAGAGGAGGGAGTTCATAAAACAGAAAAAAAAAAAGATGTCAATATCCAGGTTCCAATCTGAGTTGTAGTACAGTTCTTTCAGCCAGATTCTTTTTCATTTTTTAAACTAAAAAGGTACAAAAATATTACATATGGCACTTTGGAAGGTACGTCAACACCATTTAAAAAAGCCAGATCACCTTGTCCCGCTAAAAAATGCATATACATTAAAAATTACAGCTGATTTTCTTGAACTCATTGTTACCTTCTAAAAGCATAATAGTTAGAACTTTCATACAACAGAGATTATTTCATGTAGATAATTGCTAACGTGACTTTCATAGGAAAAGCATGAAATGGTAGGCTTTATTTTACTTTGTTTCTTACGTTAGTTTGCATGTTCTAATGGACCCTTCCCAGAGTCTTAAGGCTGGGTAAACTGGTTCTGTGAACTTGCAGCGGAAGGTGTGCAAATGAGCCATGCCATCACTAACATTGTAGAATGAAAGGATTCCTGCTTCATAATCCAGAAAAACGCCAATGCGATCAGGATCATCTTCTATGAGGATGGGGATTCTCTCCCCCTTGTGAAATGCCCAGTATTCAAACTCAAACTTCTTAAGGCACCAAGATGCTCTATTCCAGCCCAAGCGACAGGTTTCGGAGTCTCCTTTCCTGCCAATGGAAGGGTAGGCTGCACCAATCCACCATCCTGCTCCAGCCTGAAGCAGGTCAATTTCCCAGTAATGGCTCCCAGAGAGGAATGCATCTCTGCTTAGTACTTGCCATAATTTATCAAATCTCTGGGGTCCACAGGGATAAAATATCCTTCTCCAATTACAGCTTACTGCAAGACGGTCATCAGACAATTTCAGTCTTGGGTGAATGCTGTCATATTCCCAGGTTGGTGATCTTGCATCTGCAGTCAAAATCATAAACATACTTAGTACATTTATCATGATCCTTGGAAGAAGTCCAAGTTATAAAAAGCCCGCAAAGCATCCCAGAGCTGGCAGCATCTTGGGACAGGTACAGAGACAGAAAGCCTGCCCTGACTCCCATGGACATGGTCTGGAAAAGGCATGCCAAGAGTATCACAGCAGGGTACTAACACTGCTGCCTCCACACCTTTGTAATCTGGGCCACCAGTGTGATGGGAACCTCAGCCACAGCAACAAGCTGCCTTAAGATTTAGGATTAGGATTCAGAAAGCCACAGACCCTACAGCTCCAGGCTCACAAGGGGATCATGGCAGGGCACCAACATTGCTGTCTCCATGTTGTTATAATCTGGGCCACCCATGGTGATGGGATATGGGGAAGCCATATGAAGGGCAGCTGTGGTCACTTGGCTTGTTCAACCTGGAGAAAAGGAGACTGTGGGGAAACCTCATAGCAGGCTACAGTTTCCTCACAAGGGGAAGCAGAGGGGCAGGCACTGATCTCTCTGGTGACTAGTGACAGGACACAATATTGTGTTGGGGGAATTGGGGGAAGTTTAGGTTAAATACTAGAATTAGGTTGTTCACCCAGAGGGTGATTGGGCACTGGAACAGGCTCCCCAGGGAAATGGTCTCAGCAACAAGCCTGACAGAGTTCAGGATGCACTTGGACAATGCTTTCAGGCACATGGTATGATTCTTGGAGCTGTCCTGTGCAAAGCCAGGAGCTGGACTTCAGTGATCTTTGTGGGTCCCTTCCAACTCAGGATATTCCAGGATTCTATAGTCATACTTACGTTTCAAGAAAAGCAACCGGTCAATCGGAGACATGGTTTTCAACACTGTTCCAGGTTCCTTCTTTGCAGTGGCATTAAGGCTACTGAAAACATCTGGGCAGAGATAAAAACAGACAATTTAGGGAGTCTGACAGTGGAGAACGTGGCTGTAGTGTTGAGAAGATTTTTAAGAATAAAGCACCATAGGCAATTTTGCTTTACCTCTTAGGTGTGAATTCCACCCATGTCCAGGGGAAGGTTATACTGTCACACTCCACTTTCCAACTTCATCGATAAACTGTGTTATTTTTGCTGGGGAAGGGTTACTCACTGTATGCTTTCAACTATGCTCTTTGAGCAGCATGGAGATGCTGGACTCCAGTGTTGCCAAAGAACTTACACAACTGAGGGCAACTGCAAGTAGTCACATCCCATAACTTAAAACGTAGCCCCTGTGAGATGAGAACAGTCAGGCAGCTGAAGATAGCTGCTGATGCTAGCTACAGAGCACCCCCACAATGCTGTCTAGCAATCCTACACACATACTATGATGATCTTTCAGATCTGGTCTGACCATTTACCCCAGGACCCTGCTATACTGTTCTTGCTGGCAGTTCTTAGAAAAGGGATTATTAAAAGGTAGCTGGGTGAAATGTAATGGCCAGTGTTGCCCTGCTCACTCAACAAGTGGCAGGGCTTCCCCAAGATTATTTAGCTTTGTGGCTCTGTGTCCCATTAGGACACTCCTTGCCTTGATCATGCCAAAGGTCATGCCAATGATCACTTAAGGATGAAATACCAGCTGAAAGACAAAAGGGAATCTAAATAGAACATGTTAGCCCAGCTTTACAGTACCAAGAAACATAGAATTTTTTTCAGACTGAGGCAGAAAGATCACCAAATACATCAACTAGAAAAAGTTTTCAATTTTTACAGGTACCAGATGTTCAATGACAGAGCATTTAACACCCAACAGTGACAGAAAGGAGAGAATAGATACATTGTGTAGATGTGATAGTCAAGGAAGAAATAAACTGTATTAAAATAACGGGGGGAAAAAAGCATCAGACAAACAAAAGATCATTTTCAGAGTTGGAAGAGAAGCATCTTACGTTTCTCAGTCACCACTGCTATAGCAACATTACGTCTATGCTGTCAGTGAACAGTACCCATGCCTGAAAAGCTGCTGTTTGCTCCAGCTGATTTGGTAAGAAGTCCTGTTCTTACTTACAAACCACACTTTATTTACCAAGAGAGCAGAAGAAAGCAAAATTCAGAGTACTCTCTCGAGTACCTTCTTTAAGCCGGTCTTCTAGTGGTTTCCGTAGAATAGACTGAAGAACTTTCAGAAATTGCATATAATGGTTAAGTATGTGTTCAAATGAGAGCGGTACTGGATGCCACTCTTCTAGCAGGTGCTTGTATTCCTTCATTTCTTTCTCAATTTCTGTGTACTTCTGAGGGCAGAAAGCCAAATCCTCCAATTAGCAGAGAGTGACATGAAAGGACCCTTCCCTGCCAGCTCCCACGCACCACAGAACAAGCTCTATCACTAGGAAAACCCATGTGCCATAACAGTATTCAGCCTGCCTATTTGCTCATCAGCCTGTCCATTACCTCCCCCTGCCAGTGGAGCCAGTGGCCACCCTAGAGATAGAGAACCCAGCAGACATGGTTAAAACAGGGCCCTCCAGGACACCAGAGGAAATTCCAAGATGGAAATGAGTTTGGCCTGGCCAGGACCCTTTGTGGGACATCCTAACAATGGGAAAATCAAACCACTAAGTTTTAAAAGCAGTCTAAACAATAATATCCAACCTCCCCCACAATAAAATCTCCCCAAAGCCATGAAGAGCAGCTTCCCAAGTGTAGGTATGTTGCTAGCACTTAGCAGAATGCCAGGACCACATGACTCACAACAATGAAAACTCTCCAGTTTGCCAAATTGCAAGGATGTAAAAATGCACCAGAGGCATTTCCATAATGAATGGCATCCTTTGGCTTGTGTCAGGGCATAAGCACATGGCAACACACCCTTCCCAAGGAAGGTGAAGAAGATCATGAGGAGAGAGAAGCTCACGTTTATCTGTAGGCAAAAAGAAAAACATTGCCCCCTCCCGTAAAATGATGGCTATTGCTCACGTTGATTAAGAAGTCTTGCAATTAAACAAATGAGACAATTTAGCCTTCTGTCTGAGGTTCCCAACAGGGCTGCCCTTCCTCAGACCTTCGTATTACACTGGACAAGGAAAGCCCTGATACAGCATTTGCCTTCAAGATTAAGAGGCACATCTCTCTCTTCTGTATACACTTAAAATTAACACGGATTTCACACAGACCTGAAACTGGTGCCACAGCAGGAACACCTAACTGCTCAACAATCAGAAACCAAATTGGTTCACTGAGACATCAACACAAAATTAAAAAGCAGTTAGAAAGATGCTGCTTACATACAGAAGGATCTACAGAAGAGATCACTAGAGCAGTTTACCAGGGACTATGAGAATAAGAGGTAGAAAGAGACCATACACCACCTCCAGCAGCTGAATAGGATCACTGTCCTGTTGTATTTGTCTGATTTGACATGAGAAGGTCTCCAGGGCAGCAAGCTGTTCTCGACAGGACTCCAGTTGCTGATCATGTGCTCCCAGAGCTTGCTGAGTCTTTTCATCAATGAAGTTTTTTGCCAGACTCTCTTCTTCCCGAAGAAGTAACTGCAACTCAGTCACTTTTGCTGACAGCTGCCTTTTGATCCTGTCAGCATGTGCCTACAGATGAAGCAGAAGAGTGTCTCCCCCACATTCAACAGGCCATTTCAGATAATTCTGTTTCAGGCTATCAGTGTCGCATTTTGCTTGAATTTTACTGATTTTCTGCATCTCTTCAGAAACATTAAGGGCAGGCAGACAGGATTTACCTGCTAATGTCTGGATGGAAAAGCTCAAGGGAAGATTCCAAGGTGCCCTTTTATGCAGAAAACGCTGTTTTCAGCTGGAATTTACTGGGTCAGGTACTAAGTGCAACAAGAAGCAGACCTGGTGCTCCAGTAGCAAGACTTTGATCCCTTTTAATGCAAGCTAGAGAGAAGGAGCTACTAGAGAAAGCCTCCAAAATGAAATGACATCAAGCCAAACCTCTAGAGCTCACTCCAGCTTTCTTTCTGTTCTTTCTGTAACAGAGCTGCTTAGAGCAAAAGCCATTTCATGCTCTATAACTGAGGTGGAGCTTAGCAGACAATCCTGTTCTTATGACAAAATCAATAGAGCTGTTCTTGTGTTTACTCAACTCTGAATCCAGACTGTTCAATAATGCAGTTCAGTGCCATGCAACATACATCAGTGAAGCCAGAGTAACATATGCAGCTGGGACTATTTACTATTCCTCTGCATATTTTTACCTTTTACTATTTATTTGATTTATTTTACTATTACTCCTCTGCAACATTTCAACATTGTTCTTCCAGAGATGTTCAGCTGATCAAGGAAAGAGGACCAGACCTGTGGAGATTCTTTCCCTCCTCTCTCCCTTTGTTAGTGTAATACATTGTGATGGATACAGGGAATATACTCTTTTCCCAGGAAGCAGTAGATGTCTGGGTCTTTGGATATCTACAGAGAGCACAGTGTGTCTCCTTGGAAAATGACCGTCTGGTGGAGAAGCAAACCATGCTTTACCTTCACATCATTTGCAGCCTGCTCAATGTTCCTTCTGTTCCCATCTTCTTGCTCTTTTCTCTCTTCTAGATCCTTCAAGCACAATGCCATGAGTTCCTATACAGCAATGAAAAAAAATAAAGACACTGTTTCATAGCAACATCTGTAAAAACCACAAATCAGTATCCAGCTTGTTTTCCATATAGAGGAGTATATAATTGAAATACTCAGTTTATGAGGTTTATTGAGGCCAGTGATGGTGAAACATAAGGATTTCAACATTTCACCTGGTGGGTAGAGTGGTAAGATTTTGAAAGCTGTGCATATTAGTACTACCTTCCAATGGAACAGGAAAACCTATGGTAAAAACACATTTTCATCTTTAAATCTATGGTGCTGTGCATTTCAAGGTGACATGCTAATGCATTTAGCAACTAACTAGGGCAGCTAACTAAGCGCTTTTATTCAGAGGATCAGTGGGAGGCTCCATCTAGAGTCAAAACCCCAAGCATTTCTTGTTAAACACTATGTTCTTTACAGAGGTAAATGAAAGAGCTGCTTCCTAGCAATGGAGACACTGCCAGACAACCCATGTCATTCACCCTGAGGAATCAATGCCAAAAACATTTCTTTAGGCATTGCCTGAATGCCTAAAGTCATTCAAGTGAAAATACTGTAAAAGCAAGGATTTCTGAGAGATGAGACTCCAAGATGCAGTGAGGCTCACAGGACACATATCAAGCTCAAAGAATGCTGACCCTGTGGCCTGCATTCAGGAGCACGGGGAGTGTCCTTCCAGAAGATTTTATACAACTTTAGATCCCAGGATGAAGCAGCTGATGAACCTCACACAGTGGTTCTCATTGCTTCTTAGCACTCACACCTAGGATCTGGTAAAAGCACTGTGGAAGATTCTCTGTGGAAGAAGTGCTGCCTGGCTGATGTCTCATCACAAGGGCTGTACAGAATAACTGTTCCCAGCAAACAAAATCACTAGTCAAAATACCATCCCTCAGGCTACAACTACTGGTAGTTTGTGCCTGAAATCTCTGCAGCCCTAAGCCAGTAGATGTCAGCAGAGACTTCCTAGGGACCGACTGTCACATGGAAATAAAAGTTTCTACCCTGCTCCCTTCCTAATTTGGCACAGAGACAACTCTTTATCAACTGTACCTGCTCCCCTGTGTCCATCAGATCCCCAGAGAACCAGCACAACTTGTTTCGTGCACCCTGGCTTAGGTCACGTTGCCACACATTGCCCCGGTGTCATGAATGGAATGCAAACACTATAGTGAGTTCCCAGATGTAAGAGGGATACTTTGGATGAAAGCACACCAGCAGGCAGGATCAGTGCTTTGCACTGCTCTGAAGACTTCAGTGATCTTCCCTTGTGCTGCTGTTTGCTTGCAGCCTAGTGCACTGCCCTCTGCCCTTGTAATGCCCTCTAACACGAAGTGCAATAAAATGCCAGAGGAGTATCCGCAGTGCATCTACCCACACTCCATGGAGAGCTTCCGAAGGAACTGTAGGAACTGTGTTTTCCTACTGTTTTCTGTAGGAAACCTCCTGGTACCACTGCTCCAAAATGCTACAGAAGGAATGGGAGCTCTCTGAAACTGCAGTGGAAAAAAAAATGGGCAAAAATATTCGTGAACATCAAACCTCTGTTTTACTCCTTTTCAAGCCTCTAAATCTTAGCACCACAGCATACAGGTCTCAGCAAGCCTCCTGGCATGCTCTCCAGAGTAAAACAAAGCACAAGCAGGATGCATTGCACAAGCTTGCAAAGCTTCCTGGGGATATTCAATGGACAGCTACACTGGGATGATGAAAAAAAGCTTAGAGAAGGACCCCTGGACTGGTTGTGGCTGAGGTGCAGTTAATTTTCCTCATAGCAGCTCATATGGTGCTGTGTTCTAGATGTGACTACACTGCAAGAGCACAAAAGGCTGGGAGGAGACGCAAGCAGACAGATGACCCATACTAACCAAAGAGATATTTCAAGCCATATAACATCATGCTCAGCAACAAAACTGGAAGGAGAGCATTTAGGTGGGTTGGCCGCTTTTTGCTCAGGAACTGTCTGGGTATTGATCTGTGCATGGTGAGGTGGTGAGTGACTGCCTTTCTATCACTTTTGTTTAGTTCTGTTTCTCTCTTCCTCTACTTCTCTTTTGCTTATTAAACTATTTTTATATCAACCCGTGAATTTTATTGGGTTTAGTTTTCCTCTCCTCTTCAACTGCCTCACCTGGGCAAGGGAGGGGGAATAAGTGGCAGCTGTGTTGTGCTTAGCTGCCTACTGGGGTTAACCCACAACAACCCCTGCTCCTCATCCCCAGTGAGTTATCAGAAAATGGGCACTGAGCATGGGCAGGCACTGTGGTCTAGCAAGCTACAGTGGTGAGGGAAAGGGATAGAGAGCCTTTCCCCTTCACCCAGGGCATCTATGTTTCTATCAAAGGTACTGCTAGCCTGGCAATAAAAACGAGTTCCCTGGAGCAACCAAGCTCCACTGTTCCGCACACGAGGTCTGAGAAGAAAATGCTCAGACAGAAGGTCTGAGGATAAAATGCTGCTACAAGTGACCTAACAGTCAATGTCACTTCCTCCTTGTGTCTTTACTTACACTCCTGTGTGCCTAAGTGCAACTGGTTAACTCTCTCCCTCGTGTGCACGAACCATGCCCCGTGCAGAGGCAGCACGCTGACCCCTGTCCATAGGGGATTTAGAAAGCGCTCGTCAAAGTGCAGAAAGTACACAGACTTTGCTCTGCTATCCAGCGCTGCCTGCAAAATGGATGTGACAACAAACCTTGAACTCCATCTGTTTATAGGACAAGCAAAGCAAAGCTGAAGGCTGAAGATAATTGCCTTCGTACTGCAGCACCGCACCGATACTCATAGCTGCCACCGCC